GCCTCGCCAGGGTCACTGTGCCGGGCAGGGGTAGTTTAAAGTTAACAGCAGGGCCAGAGCTGCCCCCAGCCCCGCCTCCTTCTGGCCCAGCCACCCCCCTCATCACATAGTCAGTATCCACAACCCTCTCCTCTGCACGGAAAAGGCCTGGTGAAGGGTCTAGGATTCCTTGAGTTTCCCAGAGGCTACTCTGAGTCCCTGCCCGGGTAGAAACAACCTGGAAGTCCAACCAGGCAGTGGCACCCTCCCCCTCATCCCAAGCTGTTCTGTCCCGAGGCCCACAGGAACCCTGGGGAAGCAGCAGCACCCCGGGACTGGTGCTGGCATGAGGGCCCGGGTCCTAGTTTAGTCGAACTCCCCTCAACACAAAAATAAACAAGCAGAGAGGCTATCTGGACAGGTTCCCAAACTCCCGTGGTTCCCTGAACCCCGACTCTTTAAAGAGGCACACCCCAAGACACCAGGCCTCGGGTCTGCCCCGGCAACTGGCTCAGCTTCCCTTGACAGAGCCTGCCAAAGGAACCCTCCGCAGCCCTGGCACCCCCTTCTCCAACCTGAAGGCCAGCACTGGCCAAGAGAGTCCGTCTGGCTGGGCCCCCAGTCCAACCCTTTCTGGGCCCTGGCCGGGCGGACTTCACTCACCTCTTCATAGGGCGATCCAGAAATCCTCATCCGAGAACATGGCCAGAGCCCGGGCCGCTCCCCGACCTCCAACCGCCAGAGCGATCACAGCCGCCCCCCGCACGGGGGGGCTGAGGGGGGCCGAGAACGGTAAATCCAGGTCGGAGCGGCCACCCTCCCCCCACGAAAAAAGCAAGGAGCCGAAGGGAGGTTCTCCGCCGCGGGGTCCAGCAGTTTAGGTTTCCATGGGCAGCCCCAGGGCGGCGAATCCCGAGCGGACACAAAGAGAGCACCGGCGGCTTTGATCTTGGGCGAGCAGGCTCCGCATCCGCGTCGCCGGGCGGCCTCCGCGTCCTAGGGCCCGGCCAGCGCCCCGGCCGCCCGCGCCGGGCTC